CCAACTTATGCTGGATATATATATACAGTTGTCCAGGATATGCTTTCAAGAGTGTGCTGCATTGGAATCCTAATTCTCGCTTCACTTGGTGGTCAAATCTGGAGAAAGTCAAAGATGGAGACACATATCCATCGTTGCAAATTCTATGAATATTCTGTAGTTTTGAATGCGGAAAAGGAATTCTGACGTCACACTTTGGATTCTTCAAAGTTCTAAACGATATAATTTGTTAAAAGCTATCACAGATATCTTACGAATGATGAGATAGCAGCTATTATTTAGAAAATATTTTCCGTACATAGATAGCATTGATCCTTTTTTGACTTCTGTTTGGTTTCAGTTAACAGTTTTGGTGTTACAAAAAAAAACCGCGACATATCCTAAAACAGAGGTTATTGATCGATGTCAATAAAAAACAGATAAGAGTCATCATCCGAAGACGATTGTGGATACTCACAATCGAAACGTTGTGAAGTAACTTGGATTGGAATGTTTTAATTTTCATTTCTTGTTAATAATTTTAAATTTTCAGCTCGTGTTAATAGTTCAATTTTTGATTGTTGTTTGTATTTTATTTCATTGTAATTTCAATTTTTTTTGCTTAATATAATTGTTATTTGTCAGCTAATCTTTTCAATTTTTTATAGATTCTTTCAGGGATTTCAAATCAATTTATATCATATTAGACAATACAAGTCCGAACTAATGAAATGCACTAGGGGAAATGGCAGAAGGCAGAAGGTCACAAATAAAACCATTGCCATTTTTCTCTGACAGCCAGGCGGCAATTAAAGCGCTCAGCTAGCCCGTGAAGGCGCATCCAAGGCTTTGATTGGCCCAGAACCCTTCTGCGGGGTAGCGAAAGCATGTATGAAGACATCCATAAACTCATGGTTGCAAGCCGAATCGATAGATTGGTGGAATAAGTTCCCAGGAATGAGGTAGGCGAAAGAATTCATAAAGAAACCATCGCCCAGATTCACGGAAGACCTGCTAAACCACAACCGTAAGGTTGTAAGGATAGTGGTGGGTCTAGTAATGGGACATAGCCGGCTCAGGAAACATATGTGCAACATGGGTCTGACAGAAGAAACCCAATGCAGGTTCTGTCAAGAAGAAGAAGAAACCGCACTGCATGTGCTCTGTGAATGCGAAGCGATAGCAAAGCTAAGACACGCAAGATGCGGGGAAGAAAAACTAGAGGCTTAGAGCTATTTGAAGGGGTCAGTGACAAGGCTATGGAGTCTCATCAAAGAGATCAAGCTAGACAATGAGCACTAACAACTAAGGAGCATCACAGTAGATCTGAAAAGGTCGCAGTGAATCAGGCCATGGGCTAGCTTCCCGACAATCTAATCTAATGTAATGAAATGCACCACGAAACATTGTCAGCCATCGTCAAACAGACAATTTACTATTAGAATAAAAACGCTTTTTTGTGTTAATGATTTTCGAAAAAAAATTAAATGTACTTTTTTGTATCCTAAGAATCAACATTGACATAATAATCAAAGCTTAGGCTGCACCTATATTGAATCCGTATTTCTACCGACCCGACGTGGGACGACCATCGGACGTCCCGCGATCCGATGCAGTCCGTTGTAACTGCCTACACTGGACTCAGTTCGACCCGATAGATTAACAGTTAAAATTGTGTTTTGGGGGTAATTATGAGTGACTCTGAAGATGATTTTTTGTGATGGCTTATACAAGAAAAAAATGTTCTTCTTAATAGGAGACGTAGGAAAAGGTATGGGTGCATCAGTTCAATGAAGATAAATCTGAAGGGGAATTTTTCAAAACTAACCTACTTATAAGAAACTCCCCGGATAAATTTAAGGCCTACCATCGTATGACTATGGAAACGTTTAACTATATTCTTGAAGGCATAAAAAACGACATAACTGGCCAGTCTAACTTCAGAGCATGCATCAGCCACGTTTGTTGACGATATAAAAAGGCGTCACTTCTAGTCGGCCAGGCAGTCTGTACTTAGAAAGTGAATCGTGCATTTAAAGAAAGAAATCTAACTGTGAAGATAAATTAAGCGTTAGTTACTAAGTGTTGTATATAAATTAGTTGTGATAGTGAAATATTGTTAAAAATAAATTTGATTAAGACAGTTAACTCTTTATATCGTTACAATATATATTTTTTTCGATGTCCTAATTAGTAATAAAAATATGGAAAAGCTTGAGAAAGCTAATGTGTTGCGATTGTTTGCGGTTTTGTAAACTGTGAAATTCTCACAATAAAGTGTTAACTTGATTATAGTTCGAAAACCTAAAATGAATCCACATTTTCTTTAATAACTACAGTAAACCAGAACGAGGATTTGAGAACCCTGGTGGAGACTGATCCATCACAAACGGTGCATATGGAATGGCGTCAGTTCCCATGTGGTTTTTGATAGTTTAAAACGTATTGGAAAGGTGAAAAAGCTCGTAAAGTGGATGCTACAATTTAGTGATCGACAGAAATTGTCACGCTACGAGGTCTGTTCTTCTTTGCATTTGCGCAAACGAAACGATCCTTTTTTGGATCCGATCGTCACGTGGATTCTCTACGACAACAAGAGATGTTCAGGACAGTGGTTGGACATCGATGAGTCACCCAGGTACTTCTCAAAGGCGAAAAACCCACCAAAAGAGACCATGTTTACTATATGGTGGTCGGCGACTGGTGTGATTCACTATAATTTTCTGCAACAGTGCTAAACCATCACTGAGAGAAAATTGGTGAAATGTACCGAAAATTGCGTCAGTTGAAGCAGGCACTGGTCAAGAGGAGAGGTCCAATCCTGCTCAACGACAACGCTCGTCCACAAGTTTCACAAATCACCGTGCGGAATTTTAAGGGAATTCAGCGTCGAAGATCTGCCCACCCACCATACCCCCCAGACCTCTCGACAACTGACTATAACTAGTAACTGACAAATAACTAGT